TCGATACACAATAGAGAGCCTTAGAATTATGCAAAAACGAGAAATGACAATTAATAAGAAGGAAGATACAGACAACATTGCGGCCGCATACATAACTTGTTTACAGAAATGAAATTTTCAGTACTGACAAAACTACCACATCAAGTGGTATGGATATATTTTCTTTTTTAGTGATTAAGTATTTATTTTGAATATCTAAACAATGTAAGTTGGTTTGTCATTAAATTCAATTTGTTGTTTTTTCGGTTAATACTTAATGTGTGTGTTTTTTTTTGTATTTTTATATATTTGTTGTAACAGATAAAATAAACACTACCTCTGAGGATGCTAGAAAAGTTTTAGCGAAACGTCGGGTGAAAAGTGGAATAAAGTAGTTTTATTCGCTCAAGAACTGAAAAGATCAGACTAGCCTACAAACATAAAATAAAATAAATTTGAACTGATCGGACAAAAAAAGATAGATTTGTTCCATTCCTCTTTTCAATTTTACAACCTTCGTTGGGCCCCTAACATTCAGCCGTGCCCGGGTCAATTGACCCCGCTGACCCCCCTCTCGACAGGCCTGCTGATGTTACAAAGAAATATTGATCGGATTGGCATTGTTGTCAGGGTTGTCACTGAACATGATTCAATAATTAAAGGTTTGCTCATTAGTGACATTAGAGTTTTGACACTCCCTTAGCTCCCTTACAAAAGCTTTGCACACACACACGAACCCACACACAGTCCCTTGCTAAGGGAGCCGATTTTGTCAAGAGGGGGCGAGAAAACTGTTTTTTGAGCAAACCTTTTATTATTGAATCATGGTCACTGACGAAAAAATACTTACCATCCACTTGAAACAAAAATCTATCAAATATGGAAAATATCTACCGATAACTTTTTTTTAGATATTTTGATAAAAACTTTAGTTGTTTTATGGCATATTCTCAGTTTCCTTCAACCAAGACCGAAAGGGGGGAAACTAAAGACGACAACGAAACTTCATCATTTGAAAAAACTTCAACTGAAGTTATTATAGAAAAAATATAGTGACTCAAAAACCGCTTGGTGATTTTTTTTTAATTCACAATGTTGTTCAAAAAATGTTCGTCTAAATTTCGAACTTTTTACTCTGAATTTTTAGAAAAATTGATGGTATGGAGTTTTAAAGCCAAGCTAAAAATTCCCGTTGATTTTTTTTAAATTTTTTTGTCGCCAGTCTTTTGTGGTTTTCTATTTAACAATTGCGGTTGATAAAAAATATCGTATATTTAATTTTGTTTTGCATTCAATCATAGTGCGTTATTATATACCTGTCAATGCAATAAAGTAGACTACACTTTTGGAAAAAAATTTACCAAACTACGAAAATAAAGCGGGAAGGAAAAGATCAACAAAAACCTACTAAAATGAGAAAAAAAAATATCTTTTTACCAACCCAAAGTTTTTTTACCAATTTTGGTAATAATTTACCAAAGTGACAACCCTGATTGTTTCGCAGACATCATGACATAGAAATCACTGCATAAGAATTCATGGAAAGATATGCAAAGCTAGGGGTGAATCATTTGGTTTTATAATAAAATTATAGTTTAAAAAACTAAAACCTCCCTATTATAATTGTCATTCGTACTGTCATCAGGTATGTAACTTGAGAATAGAAATAGCTGCATCTTTTAGGCGCATCAATATTACATAGTCACATCCCGAGCTAATAAAAGGAAGGTAAGAAGGTAAAAAAATATCTATTTTATTGGTTTCTTCATAATAAAAAAATTTTCCCACATACTTACATATCTATGCTCATACAAATGTTGGTATTACTCTTAATATTTATACTCTAAAATATAGTACATAATATAAGTAAATCACATGACCTAATACAATTTGCAGTTTTTTTATAGCAAGCATTAAATGATATTGGCCCTTATGCATAAAAAGTGAGCTTAAGCTCCAACTCGATTTTCAGTAAAAATTCTTGAGCCTGAGCTCAACTACTTCAATGTAAAAATTTAGGTCTAGCTCACTTTTTATGCATGAGGCCATTTATTTCATGATTTTCAATGAAAGCTTCATGATTTCCCCTCCCAAATTGGTGACAGATAACAAGATCAACGGATATAAGGCCTTACTGGTGCGAAATAATGTCAATTGACAATATTACTTTTTCAAAAGCGAAATAAAATACATTGACATATTTGCTCTTTCAAAAATTTTGCATTTAAAAATCACATTTCTTATTTATATTTTTATTTTTTATTTATTTTTTTTTATTACCTTCATATTGTTTGATTTCGTAACTTCTACAGTTTTGGTGTTTCCTTTCTCAAATTTTTACAGCTAACTTCATAAGTTTAGACAACTATTCAGGTTGAAAAAAACTAAAATCAAAGATAAAGTTAATAAAAAAAATAAAAAATAAAAAATGCGATTTTTTTATGCAACATTTTTTTATTTTAATCTATCTCACACTCTCATGGAAAGCCGAGGTAATTACGCACATTTTGATACCTTAACTGAATTTCTCCGGCAAATAGTGTATTAATTGCAAACAATTGGAAAAAATACCACTCCGTGAGGTCAAAATTTCGGGAATTTTTTTTTTCCAGATTTTCGAATGTCATGACGAAATAAAAAAATAGGTATCTTCTTTTTCGATAAAAACTGTAAAAAAACATATTTCACACCCAAAAAAATATTGAGGTGTAAATATTGTATAGAATGACCCATATATATATATATATTTCATGATCTAATGATCGGATCTAAACCAGATTAGTAGTGGACCACCTCAGATGCAAAACTCGAAATCGGTTGACGTGGTCCAAAGTTATGCGGTGGCATACAAAAAAAGAAAACAACAATCCGAAGAACTGATAACCTGCTCCTTTGTTGGAAGTCGGTTAAAAACAAAACCGACTTCAAATCGCATATAGAAATTTTAGGAGTACCGTTAATCCATTTAGGAGTACCGTTGATCCAATGATCAGTTCGAAACCAGATTAGTAAGGGATCACCTCTGAGACACTACCTTTCCGATGCAAATAGAGTTTTCAAAATCGGTTGACGTGACATGTTTTGCAAGTTCTGTATCATTTCTACATTCCTTCTGCAAATATTTCTCGTATTCCACCTCTTTTTTGCGTTTGGTTTTTCGCATCGTGTTTTTATATTCGTAATTTTAAATTTTTTAATAAAATCAGTTGGTGGTTGTTCATGATTCTGTGTTGATTAATAGCAGACTGAGGATTTGGCAATAACCTCTTTCAGCTATGGAAACAACACATACGGGGCAATGTTTATTGTAACAGCATTCATATCTCACGTACGATGCAAAAACATTTGTTTCTTTGAATCGACATATGTACTTTGAGCATTGTTGACGCTATTTCTATTTGATTGAGGGAAATAGCATCATTAACTTTATTTCCAATTATTTGTTGACTTTATTTCTCTGTCAAAAGGTAATAATGTCAATTGACTTTACTTCGAAGCAGTATGCGAAATAGTGTCAATTGACCTTATTTCCGTTGATCTTGTTACCTGTCACCTCTCAAATTGTCTATAGTTTTCAAATACTGTTTACATAATATTCAAATCAACTTTTTGTTAAATTGCCCTGGGAAACCTATTGATCGGGGTTCACTCATTCGAGAATTTCGTTTTTTTTTGCCCAGTTAATGGCCAAAATAAGCGGGGAAGCCATTAACACGGGTGTTAATCAACCGGCGAATACTATATGTAATATATCTTTTATTATTTTAGAATGCCGTCAATAGGAGTTATATGCACGCATTCGACGAGTTCCGGAGCAGAGAGGCCTTCGAACAAAACGCCAACGTTGTGAGGCAGCATAACAAACTGTTTGAAAAAGGCGAGAGCAGTTATCGTTTACGTACTAATATAATGGCCGACATGGTGAGACTTAGAGCAATAAAAAGTGTGCCACGCAAAAATTAAGTAATGCCTTTAATATATATATGTAAGTCGATGATACGTATTGGTGATTCTCTACAAACTGTAATTTTTTGCATAATGATAATAAGTAACAAGGCGAATTTATATAAGGTGGTGTTGACGGTGAATTTAGACTTTCGCCGCGGTACTTATTAATGTCAAAATGATGTGTTTGTTATAAACCAGGCGAATTCATATTACAACAAACCCATCATTTTGACATTAATAAGTACCGCGGCGAAAATCTAAATTCGCCATCAACACCACCTTGTATAAATTCGCCTTGATAAGTAGCCTGTTCCCGTACTCCAGGATTTGCAGGTTTCACAGGAACAGCTGTCGCCTTTAATAAACCTTATGTAAAAGTGGCGTACGGGAACAACTTTGGACTAAATCCCACACACCCGGTATAAAGGGTAGCTTGTTTGTTTCGCAGTACTTCACCAGTTTCGTGACATGCTCCGGGGGATGTGAGTGTCATCTCCTGGGAAGTAGCCTAGGGATGTCAGTGGCAAAAATACATCGATGTTTTTCTTTGATTCGATGCATCGAAGGGCATACATCAGTTTGCATAGGATTTTTCAAATAATATTTCACAACAAAATATCGAGCCCTAACCGCCAAAATAACGTAAGCTTTTTTTCAAAATTTTCTTTTTGATACAGCAATGCATCTATATGCTCCAGGAATATCCCTGCATTAAAAAGAAAATTTTGAAAAAAATGTCGCTTACGTTATTGCGGCGGTTAGGGCTCGATATGTTATTAGCAAAATTGTATAAACCCAATAAACACCAAAAAAATATTTCTCCAACATTGGAGAAATTCATAGTTCTCAAGTTGATATCCAAACATCTTTCTCCAACTCATCTCTAACCCACGCGCAGATACGTAAAAAGTGATAGGGATATAAATTTTTAATTATCAAGTGAAAAACTAAAGCTATATAAAGGGGAAGTGTCAAAATTACTGCCGGACTGTATACTGTGAAGTGAATTATTGTAATACGATACTGATTAACTACATAATACAAAAGGAGTAATAAAATGAAAAATTAGTATTTAAATTCATCTATATGTGTCGTTTCAATCAGAAAGCTATAAGGTATTTTTAACCGACTTCCAAAAAAGGAGGAGGTTATCAGTTCGTCGGAATATTTTTTTTATAATTTTTTTTTATTTATGTAACCCCATAACGATTTTGATAATTCTTTTTGCAATAGAAAGGTAGTATATCAGAGGTGGTCCCATACTAATTTGGTTTAGATCCGATCGTTGGATCATGAAATATATATACATATAAACTAAATCGGTTTTTTTTGCTATAAATTACTTGTACTATTTCAATTTAAGTACTTAAATGATATGTTTGAGACCAATTGTAGAATTACATTGGAGTTCAAGTTGAGAACTATCATTTTCTCAACTTGAGAAACAGTCCTTTTTTCATACAAAGAAAAATGCCCTTTTTGTTGAGAACGCTGTGATCCTCCACTTGAGGTACTGTTGAGAAACAACGTTGGGATTTGAGCAATACCTTAGTTCTCAACTTAACTTCAAGTTGAGCTCAAACCTAAATGTTAATTGGGAAGTTAGAAATAAATTACTGCAACTGAGCTAGTTATGTTTAACCTAATGAATACATGATTATTACAGATTAGTGAATGATTAAAACTAAAACTTAGGTTTGTTAACATTTAGCGTTTGAGTAAAAATTGGCTTAGAGAGTGAAAAGTTGAAAATACCATTTGAGACTCGATCAAGATTATTAAATTCAATGAAGGCCCGAAAAATGGGTGCATTGCGGGCATAATTAGTTCTGTGTCTGACAATGTGGAAAATCGGAAAGTAACGAAAGATTCTTATTGGACAAATAAAAGTCATTGGTTTTAAAAGACAAGAACAATCTACATTACTCCGAATAAATAATATCACATAAATAAGAAAGAGTCACAATTGTTCTTCGAGTATCTAACAATTTGAGATTAATTAATTGGCACTGAGCTTTATACGAGGGAATCAGTTGACTAAAGTTAAGTGATCTGAGACAAAAACGGAGAAAAATTTTTTGAATACGTTTAATAGGGTCGATTTGCGATTGCACGTAAGGTCTCCATATAACTGCAGCATATTCCAGTTTAGATCTGACGAAGCAAGTATATAAAAGCTTCAGCCTATAGGGGTTTGAAAATTCAGAGGCATGTCGACGAACAAAACCCAGTATTGAAAAGATTTCCCAATAATTGAATTTATGTGACTTTGAAGGTGAGCTTAGAGTCGAAAAAACACCTAGATCCTTAGTTTCAACAACAACATTCAAGGGAATCCCAGAAATGTTATATGAAGAACTATACGCATTAGATGACTTAGAGAAAGAAATCTAAAAACACTTCGAAATATTGAGGCTTAAATTATTGTTTGTGCACCAAGTATGCAGGCAGTCAATATCCCACTGGAGCTTATGTATGTATATTCCCTACATTAGCGATGGTGTGATTTATCTTAAGATCATAATATCATAAAAGGTAATTGGCAAATGAAAAGCAATTGTTAATGTCATTAATGAATAATAGGAAGAGAAGTGGACCAAGAATGCTCTCTTGTGGGACACCAGATGTAGCTGTGAAAGGAACCGACGAAACATTATCTAGCATGACAACACATTGTCTATTACACAGATAAGACTTAAACCAGTTAATAATACACGAATGAAAACCAATCAGAGATAACTTGTGGATAAGTATATGGGGCACTTGTATCGAATGCTTTTGAGAAATCGGTATAAATGGACTGTACCTGATGACCATTTTGTAATGAAGAAATACAGTATTCATTGAAAACTGCTAGGTTCGAAGTAGTAGAACGTCTAGTCACGAACCCATGATGATTAGGGCAAATCAGATGCTTAACAGAAAAATAGAGCTTATTCTTAATGATGCACTCAAAGAGTTTGTGGACAATTTCGATATGGGTCTATAGTTAGATATATCACTCTTGTTACCACTTTTGAAGATATGTGTGATTGTAACTAATTACCACGCATCAATGAAAGTGCCAGATATAAGTGATTTATTAAAAATTAATTTTATAGGATAGACGAGGGCGAGCAATTTTTGAATAAAACTGATGAAGGGTCGTCAAGATCGATAGTGTAAGTTGACGTATATCATTCATAACATCATCACTGGAGAGTTCAAGAGAGCCGAAATTTATTGAAGAGAGGGACGGAAATGAAGACTTAACAGACAAACCTGATGTGCTATCAGGGACAAATTTTTTTTGAAATTACTCAGCAAATAAATTAACCGCATCATTAAGACCATATGCAGCTGGTTTTTTTAAATTAATAAAACTCCAAAAATTTTTTTGATTTTGTTTTATACGCAGAGAAAATGATACAGGTAAAATGCAGCTTTTTAAAAGAAATTGTAAAATGAAATTTTTTGATATAATTTTACTTCATACAAAATAAAAAATACAGTATTTGTACTTACGACTTTAAAGCGAAATATTCGCAAAACAAAAACGATCGTTATAATATATTCACTTTTTTTTACTGAGGAGAACAAACGACATTAAAGAAATAGCGTCAAAAATTCATATTTTAAAAACTAAAATTAAACATTTTAGAATATTGTCCCAACAAGTTGTAGTGTGACACAATTTTCAACAAGCAAAATAAAACCAGACATTTTTAAAATAAAAACGTTAATTTATTTTCAGTAAATTAGGTATGAAAAATATTTAAAACTAAAGTGTTTTGCATTAGAATTCAAAAAGCTACCTAGCTATAATGAAAAACTTTCATATGTTTGCATCATTTGTCGGAAAAATTGTGTTCAGATAAATAAGTTACTTCAATCTGCAGAAAAGGCGATGAAGTATATACAAACAATATTGCCATTCTAACCCCTAACTACATATAAGGGACATTAGTGGACTTCTTTGACCGAAAAAGGCTTTGGTAAGAGTAACTTACAAAAACAAATTTGTATGGGTTAAATAATAGTTTAAAACTTTCTTAATTTAAATTACAGGAGTTGACCAGCGTGAAGCAAAATTAGCAGGTCCAGCTAGGAAGTAAGGCAGGAACATCTGTATGTATGTATGTATTTATGTATGTATATAGTAATATGTAAAACATCTGTTATTTATTAAATGTTGTAACTTATTTATAAGTATATGTATATCAATATATTTTTGACAATGTGTGTACCAAACGACCTGTTGTGATTTAATAAAAATAAAATTTGAATATCATATTTGAAAACGCATGTTTTTAAAATGAGGAAAAAACATTTTAAGATTTAATTTCAACATGANATACGCAGAGAAAATGATACAGGTAAAATGCAGCTTTTTAAAAGAAATTGTAAAATGAAATTTTTTGATATAATTTTACTTCATACAAAATAAAAAATACAGTATTTGTACTTACGACTTTAAAGCGAAATATTCGCAAAACAAAAACGATCGTTATAATATATTCACTTTTTTTTACTGAGGAGAACAAACGACATTAAAGAAATAGCGTCAAAAATTCATATTTTAAAAACTAAAATTAAACATTTTAGAATATTGTCCCAACAAGTTGTAGTGTGACACAATTTTCAACAAGCAAAATAAAACCAGACATTTTTAAAATAAAAACGTTAATTTATTTTCAGTAAATTAGGTATGAAAAATATTTAAAACTAAAGTGTTTTGCATTAGAATTCAAAAAGCTACCTAGCTATAATGAAAAACTTTCATATGTTTGCATCATTTGTCGGAAAAATTGTGTTCAGATAAATAAGTTACTTCAATCTGCAGAAAAGGCGATGAAGTATATACAAACAATATTGCCATTCTAACCCCTAACTACATATAAGGGACATTAGTGGACTTCTTTGACCGAAAAAGGCTTTGGTAAGAGTAACTTACAAAAACAAATTTGTATGGGTTAAATAATAGTTTAAAACTT